CGGGCGCGCTGCACCCCACCTTGTGCTCCCGTTCCTCTGCAGCATCCATTAGGCAATCCCAGAATGTTTCTTATCCCAACTGTTCCTTCTCTCCTCTGCTAACGTGTGAAAGACCGACCCAGGGGGGAGGCTGACTCACCGGGCAGAGGAACGGTGAAGCCGCATCGACACAAAACAAGGCAGAGAAGAGAGGAGGGGGAAAGTTTTGGAGAGCTGTGTGCTGCAAGCAAGGGCGTTTCACACAGCCCTGCGCTGGTCACTCGTTTAAAAATACCCAGTTTTCCTTTTATAAATAAAAGGGACAATAATATTTCCTTTGGAGGGAGGCTCAAATTTAGGAAAATCCCCATGGCTGCTTTGGCTGGAGGACAAAACACGCGGGTGGAAAGCGAGCAGGAGCAGGGCAGTGCAGCGCAGGGAGGCTCTGTGTCCACCTGGGAACACACACAGTCAAGCCCTACATGAGCATTTTCCCTCAGTTCTCTGTTTCAGTTCGTACTCTTGCTGTAGAGCTCCTCTGGGAACACTGGGGAAGGAAAAAGGGGCTGTGAAAGGTGTTTCCCAAAGCACATCAGTTAAATCCAGCTTCCCAAAGGAAACAACACTCAGAAATGCTGGTAAAATTACTCAGAAGTAAATCAGTCCTGTTTGTTGGTGTAGCTGGCGTGACGTTCTCATCCCACCTTTGACTCAGCCTCTGGTTACAGCTCTCAGTAAGCTGCAGCTATTTGCTATTTATTTTTTGCTATTTGCTTTGGACAAGCTGTAACACGACTGTGCTGCCGTGTGCCAGCTCCAGGGGAAGCGAGATGCAAGTAGTCTCTCCTCTTGAGTTTTACCATCTGTGCCACTGGATTTGCATTTTAGGGGAGCTGGGGCCCTTTGATACAAACATAATCGCCTCAGAGTCATCATCCCAAAGGGAAGCATCACTCCAGTGGTTTTAGTCATCTTGGTCTGAAGATGGCAGGGATTTTCCCACTCACCATTGCAAGACATAAAGAAGCCATGGCTGTGGGGTTCAGGCTCGGGTATCAGCAGCCTCAGGGATCCAGGACTTCACTCTGCAGCTGAGTGAAGCATCTGGACACACGTTGAAGGGCTTCGAGTTTTGCTGCAGCAATGCTATGAGTGCATCTGCTATTGCATATTTCTCTGTTAATAGTGTTTTCGCTCAGTGAGTGGCCACTCTGCTGTAGAAAAGGGTCTTTTAAAGATCTTGGAAGGCTTAGAAACTGATTTTGGTGCTAAGCAGGGGTGCTGGAGGGTGGTGAGCGATTTCCTTGCCAGTACTTGCCCCAGCACCCAGGGGGTTGCTCTGGTGTTGGCAGCATCTCGGGGTCTTATCAGGACTCGGCAGTTAATTTGCAATACAACTTAATTTCTTTTCCAAGTGGCTTTGGCTGAGGGTCAGCATCTCCCCAGGGACATGTGGGACTTGTGTCTGTCCCAGTGTTCCCTTTAATGTGCTTCATTGGAGGCAGAAGTGGCTCCTGTCCCTTCCTCGTGATGGGTTTTGTTTGTTAGCATCAACCAAAGGAAGCACCCGTAAAAGGCCAAGGGGGATGTGGGCTGTGCATGACTGAGCCCCATGGACCTTCTCCCCACCTTTCCCATGGGCGATGGGCTTTGCTGCCTGTTGGAGCTGAGCCCAGGAGGGGCTGTCTGCCAGCCCTCTGGATTACCATAGGGTCCATGCTATATCTTCATGTCCAGGAGCAGCCCCCCCGCAGACAGACCCCACTGTCCATCAGATGAGCGGGTCTTGGCCCAAATTTGGGCTCCAGGCTCCAGCTCCCCAAGTCACATCCTGCCAGCGGGGACAGGGTGGGAGCGAGAGACCTGGATAGAGCATCCGCATCAGGCACAAGGTGCTGGGGTCCCAAAGCTGGGGTGAGGTTTGGGGTTGTTGCAGCTTAACTGTGTTGGTGCGCAAGCAGCTGTGGCCAGTCCCCTGTTAACCATCCAGGGTTTCTTCTCTCCATTAACTCCAGATCGTGTGCTGCAGCCTAAATAAAAACAAAATCATCTAGAAGGTTGTGCCGTAGGGCAGAATGTCCGGGTTTATCTATCACACAGGGTCTGGAGGCTGCCAAGCGACGTGTTTGGGAACAGCCTCTCCTCCAGCCTCATCCTGGGTGGCTCTTTTGCTCCTCATGGCCTCAGGGGCTGGAGATGTCTCTTGGGGCTGTTGCTTTGATAAGGAGGGGTGGCTGCAGATCAGTGTCGCACTGGGAAAGAAGCCATGGAGAGCTTGACATCCCGTGCGTTAAAGGGCAGATTAAACCCATGGTCATTAGATTAATGGGATTAAGTCCATGAGTCAAAAGGCTGTTTTGCACTGAGCTCGGTACTCTTGGGAGCACCCAATGCCAGCCCAGGTTAGGCAGCATGAGCAGCATCTAAGGAGCCCCTTGCTACCTGGAGTAACTGCAGAGCAATGCGTACCGCCCTCCTCTGCACCCAGCTGTAGCGATGGGGATCGCTTGCCCAGGTGATGTGCAGTACAACAGGGGTGAGCCCCAGCTCCTCACACAGGGGAACCAGGATCTTCCACCGGGGTCAGGAAGGGCTGCCCAAGCCCTGCTCCCCTTTGGGGGACTGCTGCACAGGGGCTTGCATGGAGCGGGTTGGGCTGGTGTGGCTGGGAAGGGGAGAACAAATGTAAAAATTGGAGATGATGGAATCCCAGAGTGGTTTGTGCTGGAAGGGACCTTAAAGCTCCTCCAGCTCCAACCCCTGCCCCGGGCAGGGACACCTTCCACTAGAGCAGGTTGCTCCAGGCCCCTGTGTCCAACCTGGCCTTGAACACTGCCAGGGATGGGGCAGCCACAGCTTCTCTGGGCACCCTGTGCCAGCGCCTCAGCACCCTCACAGGGAAGAGCTTCTGCCCTGTATCTAACCTGATGCAGAGCTGTATTTCCAGACTTCACAACTCAGTTTGCAGCACCAAGCCCGGCTTCAGCAGTCACTCCCTGGGACGGCCAGTGCTCCCTGGGACCTTCTTCTGCAGCTCCGTGGCTCCTGGGCTGTGCTCTGGGATCAGCTCTGCCCTCCAGGCCCGTGGCAATGTGCAGACCATGTGAATAAATATTGAAATATGCAGGCGGATGTGATAATATTTATGCCCTGGCAGGTCTCTGTGCTGGTTGCATAAGGCATCATGTATTCTTTCCATCCCTGTGTCCTTTGCTTTTCCAGGCAGGGTTGCTGCCAGCAGCCCTGGCGACAGAGACAAAAACACATGTCATTGGAAAAAGGTATTTTCTGCTCTCGGTGCCTGGCAGCCACCGTGGCTCCGAGCAGGGAACTGAAATGCCTTTATGGAGCAGAGGGAGACAGGGAGGTGGTCCCCGTCCCTGCAGTGACTCAGCCCTGCAGGCCCATGAGTCAGTGCCTGATGCCAGCCTGGTTTGGACACAGGCTGGATTCCAGGCGGGAAGCATGGGTCGGTTGGCAGCCCCACTTCCCTGCCACGCGTCCTCTGCACATCAGTTTTGGAGCCTGAGAGGTTTCCTGTGCACATCCTGGTCCCCTGCTCCCAGGGGATCCGTGCAGGCTGTGTCAGGTTCCCTGTTAGATCAGAGGAACCCTCTCCAGGAACTTCATATTGTGCAAAAACCCCTTCCCGCAGCTCAGGAATTCAGGTGTACGTGCCTTTTGCTTTAACATCTCGCTGCAGTTGGGAAAGGCAGAGCCTGCCTCCAAAAGCAGGATCCCGTGCCTTTTTTTAGAGCGTTCTTGTACTCAGAGAGGCTAAAATGTGCTGCCCTCACCAGAAACCTTGCAAAAACTCATGGCAGAACTGTTCATTTTGGTGACAAATGCTATTCCAGCTGCTGTGGTATCTAAGGTGTCCTAGTCCAAGAGGAGAGGAGCCGGACCTCTTTTGGTGGCAGGATCAGGACTTGTCACACATGGTGGTAAAGAATGTTTGCATTTCCTAGTTTCTTTGTGTCTTTAAGTGGCTAAAATTGAATCGCTGGCAAACCATAATGTAAGAAGCAACTGAATTTATTGCACTTCTCCTTGGAGTAAGATCTGCTTTACCCCAGCTGCAATAACAATATAAGCAGAATAAACCCTTCTTACATCCTGGGTGATGCCAGATTGCTGTGAAGGTGGATCCAGACATGGTGTAACCTGTGCAGAAACCACTGTGGGCTTCTCCTCAGCACTGCTGGCTCCAGCTGAGTGATGTGGGGAGAGCCAGAAGGAGCCTGGTAAGGGATATTTGCCTTGCAGTTACACCACAATGAGGTTCTCAAGGATTTGATCTTGGGAATAATTTTCTTATCTGGGTGTATCTTAAGTTGAGGCTTTGAAGTCTTAAAGCCCTTTGGATGGGAAACTGTCTTGCAATACTTAAAGGGGCCAACAAGAAACCTGGAGAGGGGCTTTGGACAAGGGCCTGTAGGGACAGGACAAGGGGGAATGGCTTTACCCTGCCTGTGGCAGAGGCTTGGAACTGGATGAGCACAAACCAGTCTGGGATTCCATGGCTGTGTGTTAGCCAGATCTGTGGTTCAGGGTAGGGTGACCATCCCGCTGTCGGAGGTGTGTGGAGCTGGCACATCCCTTGCAGCTGGTTCAGTGTCTTCAGGACATTTAACATCCATGCCAGCATTTAACATCATGCCAGCACCTGTAACCATACTGGTGCTGTCTCCAAAACCAAAGGAGCTCTGTGCATGGCACATGGTGCGTGCAGGGGCATAGCAGGGACAGTGCTGGTGACGGCAGGGCTGCCACAGCTCATCTAGTGCTCACTGTGTTCCTGCTCTTGGCTTTTTCAAGCATTTCCATTTCTACAGCACCAAAAGGACCTCGTGGCCTCCAGCTATCAGGAACAGCAGCTATGAGCAGGGGAATGCTGCGGAAAACATCCTGGATGAGCAATTTGGGAGGACAGGCAGAATTTGAGGGGGAGCGCTGGTTTTTAAGTGGAAATGTCACGCTTTCTTCTTCTTCTCTCTTTTTTCTTTGCTTCTCTTGAACAGAAGTTGGTGTCTTGGCAAAGCAGTACCTTGAGCGAGGCCTTCTGGTGCCCGACCACGTCATCACATGCGTGATGATGACGGAGCTGGAGAAGCGGCGAGAGCAGCACTGGCTGCTGGACGGTGAGTGCGCTGCTGGCATTCCCTGCGATGGGAAAATCCCAGCTCCCTTTAAAACACTGTTTTGCTGCTTACAGTTTGGCAGCACCAGGAAAGAGAAAACCTTTGCTGGTTGTGGAAAGAGAGGCAGAAGCTGAGCTGCTGGCAGAGACATCTGCCCTAAGCAGCAGCACGTGCGTGTCCAGCTGAGCCCTTGGCACGCATCCGGGAAAGGGAAAGGCTGGGAAAGGAGATGCGTGTTTCATAAAGCAGAGCCAGGGAGCAGAGCAGGGCTGGAGGCAAGCCAAGAAAAACCTCTTATCACCTCCATATGTGCGCAAAGGAGCTATTCATCCCAAGGCTGAAAGCCACCTGAGGTGCGGATGGAGAAGATGCCGAGAGCAAACCAGCCAGGGAAGCAGTGAAAGGAGCAGCAGAGGGTTCACCAGGAGCTCCTGCAGCCCTCAGTGGTGAAGCTGCATCCCAGCAGTGCAGTGTTGGAGGTGGCCTGGGAGCCAGCAAGTGCTGGTGGCAGTTCTAGGAACTGCTTTGGGGTTTGGTTAGGGGATGGGGCAGAGCTCGGTGGGTTGCACTGAGCTGCGGTGCTGGGCACAAGCAGGTGTGATGTGTAGGGATGTGTAGCCGAGGCCGTTGTAGGGGGAGAAGGCTTCCTGTGCCAATCTGCTGACGGTCTTTGAAATGGTCACTGAGTATGGAGATAATCCCAGAATCCCAGCCTGGTTTGGGTTGAAGGGAGCTTAAAGCTCCTCCAGCTCCAACCCCTGCCCTGGGCAGGGACACCTTCCACTAGAGCAGGTTGCTCCAAGCCCCTGTGTCCAACCTGGCCTTGAACACTGCCAGGGATGGGGCAGCCCCAGCTTCTCTGGGCACCCTGTGCCAGCGCCTCAGCACCCTCACAGGGAAGAGCTTCTGCCCAAGAGCTCATCTCAATCTCCCCTCTGGCAGGTTCAAGCCATTGCCCTTGTCCTGTCCCTACAGGCCCTTGTCCAAAGCCCCTCTCCAGGTTTCCTGGAGCCCCTGACAAGATTTTGGCTAAAAATACCCTACTTGGGAAGAGCCTGGGAGGTCTCCGAGGGTTTTATGGATATAAAAAAGCTTAAAAACATTAAAAAAAAGGGTGTTGTCAGCAGAGAAGACTGAAGAGGGGACTAGCTCAGAGTCACCCCTTGTTGCAGTCTGATGGCAAGAACAGATGCTTCCATCAGCACCGGCCCCTCTGCAGGGATCTAGCCCAGCATCAGACACGACTTTGCAGGAAAACATGAGCCCACAACGACCTGTGTGTTATATTTTGGGAGTCAGCGCTGTAGGAGCTATTTTTTATTGCCGCCATATGGTGGATGCCTGACTCTCACACCACTTGTGCTTGAGCAAGGAGCTGCGGTGGTTCTGCAGCTCCGGGGCGGTGGGTTTGGTTCCATCACTGCTGCTTTCCTGCCTTTCATGACAACCCCTTTCTGTTGCTGTGTCTACACAGGTTTCCCCCGGACGCTGGGGCAAGCCAAGGCGCTGGACAGGATCTGTGAGCTGGACCTGGTGATCAGCTTGAACATTCCCTTTGAGACACTGAAGGACCGCCTTAGTGCCCGCTGGGTCCACCCGGCCAGCGGGAGGGTGTACAACATGGACTTCAACCCCCCCCACGTCCAGGTAGAGCCCATAGCATGCCGGTGGTGCCAGCTGAGAGCCATTCACAGAGGAAAAGATGAGGGAAACCTTTTCTGTGTGAGCTGAGATCATAAAAGAACATTGGGGAAGAAATCCCAGGTGGCGAGCGCTGAGCATGGAATGCTTTGCCCTTCGGAGCCAGCCTGAGGGAGTTATGCTAAATATTCATTAGGAAAATGGGTTTTATCCAGAGATGCTCAATGGATGTGGAGCAGGAAAAGGCACTTGGCAGTGGGTGCATGGGAGGGAGCTGCAGTGGCTGGGGGGGGGGGCGATGTTGTTTGCCTTCCTGCAGGGCATCGATGACCTGACGGGCGAGCCGCTGGTCCAGCGCGAGGATGACAGACCCGAGGCTGTTGCTGCCAGGCTCAGAAAATACAAAGATGCTGCAAAGCCAGTGATAGAGATGTACAAGTGAGTTGGACCATGTGAATAAACCACGGTGTGACCATAAAACCAGGCACAAGTGCTGACTCCATCAGCCTGAGGAGCCCTGGCATGGCCCATGACAGATTTTGGGGGGCAGATCACAGCACTCAGCAGCACAAAGCCCAGCCTTTCACTGCAGCCAAACCCTGGCCCTGTTTGGAGGGATGACGCTGAGGTGAAGGCATTCACAGCTCCTGTCATGCTGGGTCCACAAAGGGTTTTGCTGGTGCTGGTGATGGGAGGGATTTTTTGGCACTTGCAAATCCCTTCTGCCCCCCAACTCCACTGCGCAGGGTGAGAAGTCTGTTTGCTTTGCAGCGCTATGAAACACAACCACTTAAGACTTCTAACTTCCTTCTGGGTGAGTATCCTCCAGCACAAGAGCTGGAGAAGCTCTGCGGTGCCCCACACCCTGCCCTCCCCATGAAGAGTCATCACTGAGGTGGGGATGGAGATGTTGCAGAGAGCAGCCCTGCGCTGTGCGAATGCAGGGTGGTGCACAGTCACCTGGCAAAAAATCACCCAGGGCAAGAAATCAGTTTAGGTGAAGAACAGGGTGATTGGCACGAGGGAAGAGGCTCAGATGGGTCTGCTGTGAGCACAGAGACATGTTTCAAGGCTTGTCCCTTCTGTGCTGCTGGTGGTCTGAGGCCGAGTTGGGAATAGATGGATGCTGTTGGTGGCAATCTGCTGCTGAGACGGCACGAGCGCCCAGGAGCATTTATAAAACCAGGAGTGGTCCAGAAGGGGGCAAAAGTGCCTTTGCAGGGGAGGGAGGAGCACTGGGGCCCTGAGTTTCCCACTTGCTTAAGCACATGAATAAATCCTGCTGATTTACATCTACAAAACACTTCATAGAGTGGTCTTTAGGAGCTGAGGGTGAGTTGTGTCCTGGGTCATGGGATTGTTCGTGGTTATCTGGGTTTGGTTCATCCGTGTGTGAGTGCAGCTGGGCTCCTACCAGTGAATGCCACTGCTCATCCCCTCATCCCCATCCTCTCACCCAAAAAGCCATTGGTGAACTTCCAGCCTCGCTGGGATGTCCCCTGATCTCAAACACCCCTGTCCTCAGGAAGGGCTGGTGGTGACTTCTCCCCCCATCTTTCTTCCAGGAGCAGGGGCATCCTTCACTCCTTCTCAGGCACAGAGACCAACAAGATCTGGCCGTACGTGTACACCCTGCTCTCCAGCAAGATCCCACCCGTCCTCTCGGATGAGGAGAACTAAACAGCTTGTGCTAAGGACCAAGAGTTGATTCCATCATGGATTTGATTTCTCTGTGCAGTGCTGGGGCTGTGCTCAGATTAGGCGACTGTGTGGTATCTAAAGTCTCTTCCCTGGGTGTACTGGGTGACATCGGTGGGTACATGGTTATAGCCAGTATCAGGGTGAAAAGGTCTTTATTTATAAGATCAAGCCTGCTGGAATAAGGTGGTTTTATTCTCTTTTGAGGCTATAAAGTATTCTTGTCTATGGTCCAAGTACACACAGAGGTCAGGTAATGGTCGTACCAGGTTTACACAGCTTGCCATGGTGTCCCTGCCACCCCATACAAACTCCAGTTGCTGTTTGAGCCTACAGTGTGCCACCCTGTTGCTCCGCAGTGCTGTTTTCTGTAGATTACTCTCTAGGTTGTTGTTGTTGGTTGTGTTGTTTTTTTCCTATAAATTATTTTCTATTAACTTTATTCCTCAGAAAAACAAAGCTCTAAAAAGCAAGACTTAGCCCAGTGGGAACTGGTGAGCAACATGGAAAATGTGTACGCTACAAAGCTCTGGAATGTGAAGGTCAGATTTCCAGCATTAATACAAGTAAAAGAGGGAAAACATGGGAGGGAAAACACACACTTGTGTTTCTTCCATGGAGAGAGAGGAAATCCCTGTCAGAAAAAGCTGCTGTACAGTCCAGTTTTCATGCAATGCTGTGACACCGAGCAGGATCTGTGCTGGGGATGCATTGCACTCCTTTGTGCTTACCTTGTTTATAGCTTTGAATACTACAAGATACAGTCATAAGACTTTCTCCCAAAGATCTGTTTCAATGTGTGCTTCAGTTTTGGGGAGAAATCAAGTCATTCCATTTCTGTGCTGCCTTTGTCCCTGAATTCCCCAGGAGATGGGGTGTTCCCTATGCCATTCCTGCTCCTCGCTTTCCCGCCTAAAAGTCCAACTTGCCTGGCAGAAGCAGCTCCTTTGCCACAAACCCCAGAGGAATGAGAGCCTTCCCTTCCTCAGGACACGTGCTGGGGCTGCTGAGAGCTGTGCCCAGGCACTTCCCACCATTTACAGCATCTTCTGAGCATGTTGCTCCTCTTCTCTCACGTGCAGGAGCTTTGTGGCTGGATGGAATGGCTTGTCTCAACTGGAAGTACTGTGACCCTCCTTGGTGGTAGGATTGCAGTACCTAAGCAATGGGGATGCTCTTCTTGTCTCCTCAAGTTGCCTTATTTTATAGACTATATATTTAAAGAAAAATAAAGCAAAATGTGTATTTTTAAAGGTTAAAAAAAAGAGGTTAAAAAAAGCTCAATTTTAGCATCAGTTTTGGGGAATTCTGCAGGAAGCTGCAGTCTGCCACGGGTGGCTCAGCAGGAGGGCAGGAAAACTGTCACTCCACAACACCCATTTGATGAATTAGAGCAGCCCAGGCAAGTTTTCATTGCTGAAGTGTCACTATTCCTATTTTCCGTTTGGAGAGTGGCCCCTTGGCAGGACAGGGGGAGCTGACTGGCTTTTTTAGGGATGCATAGGTGAAACCTCAACACGTCCCTGGATGGCTTTTATCCCCACCGAGCCACCTGCATCCTCATGCTGTCCGAGGAGCCCCTGATGTTTGCCCTCTCTGACAGAGGCAGCTTTGCCCTAGTGCTCTCCTGAAGCCATCAGGCATCTGCTGAGTGAGATCTCTGTCTCTCATTGCCTGCCTGGGGGTGAAGGTGATGATGCAGGTGAGGCTCCGCATCCTGCTCTGGATGGGACTGGTGGGAGCAGAGGGACCATCAGGTTTCACTGCTGTCCCTAGGGCCTTTCCGTTCCCCTGGAGCTCCTGGGCTGGGAGGACACAAATCTTCCACCCTGCAATGAAATCTTATTTAAGCAAGATTTTCCCATGACCCTCACATGAAGGTCTGGGCTTTTTTTAAACACAAATCTAGAAAGAGCCAAAATGTGTGCGCTGTTTTCTTTGAACTGATGGGCAGGAGGGGAGGAGATGATGTTGGGGGGAATTTTAGGCTATAAAAGCAGCCTGGCCATGGCAGGCAGCTCTGCCAGGGCTGAGTGCCGGGCAGGGGGGCTGCTCCCTGCTTTTCCTTGCTCCTGTGTCTCATCCATCCCTGCTGCAAAGTGCCTCCTGCAGAGAGGCCGCCCCACGTAGCGCCCAGCGGCGGAACAGGGCTTGCAGATGCCTTTGCCCCAGGAGAGCCGCTTGAGCGCTTGTTTTAAAGCCTTTGAGTCCTACAGTAGGTGTAAATCCCACGACTGTGCATACATTGAGCCTTTGGGATAGAGTTTTTCTACAAGAGTCATTCTATGGTGCATTTTCATAGACCAAATACCAGCAGGGACACGTGTCCCTTGTCTTTCCTCGCCGCCGCGCTCCCCTTTGGTACTTTACTGTGAACCTCATGCCTTTTGTAAAGCGATGGCAATTTTGTACTGACCCAAGATACTGTGTGGTGGGAGGGGGTCTCCCTGTGTGTGGGGCTCTGCTGGCACGTCACGCTGAGTCTTCTTCCTGGAGTTTCTTCCCAGTGAATCGCTGCAGCCATGTTACTGCTCAAAAGATGTAAATAAATCTTTTCTCCTGCTTATCCCTGTGCTGGCAGTGTCTGTGCATGAGTTATGCCCAATCTCCACTGAAAGCCAAGCTTTGCATGAGCCCTCGCCCTGCTCTGAGGCTGTTTCTTTGTATGAGACAAGGAGGAGGAAGAAAAGGAGGAGGAAGAGGGAAGCAGTCGGAGCATCCCCACTTGAACATAATCCCTCAGTAAATGGGGTCCCCCGGGTTTTAGGCTTGGGCACAATACTGCTATTTGGGTCCTGTCATATAGCTAACTTCTTTATTTGGTATAACCCAAAATAATAGTTAAAAAGACAGTTCTGATTGTGCAGGTTAAATCAGTTGCTCCTTCCCTCCCACCCTTGTTGCACTTAGAGTGGTTTTTATATTCCTAGTTAATTTTCCCAATAAAAGTAATGGAGAGCATTAGGCACAGCAAAGCTCTGGCTTTTGCCTGCGCCCGTGTGATCCTTCACATTATGTGGTAGCAGGGATTAAAAGCCATAAGATGAGGTGCCTCCCCCCATCACTACTCATTTGCAGATCCAATTGTTTTGTATTCCCAAATAGCAGCTCAGGGCCCTTTGTCCCATCTGGAGCAAACAGAGACTCAGAAATGATTAGGAGAAATAACAATAGGGTGATAAGCAGCAAACCCGCTGCCTGGGAGGTGAGGAAGCAGAGGCCAGGTAAGGGTGATACTGGGGTTCAGGGTCATGGCAATCCGAAGGCCAAGAAGGGATGTATTGCCTCTGCGTGTGATCTGGGGTGTATTGCCTCTCTGTAACTCTGGCTGAGGGTGCAAGGGCAGATAAATACAAGGAGGAAAAGAACTGCTACGTAAGCCAGAGAATGAACTCAGTCTAAAAACAAAAGATTGAAGGTCAAAAAGCAGAGCAGTATGTGAGGAATGCTGAAACCCAGCTGAGACCAGCGCCTTGGCTTTTCCCTGAGCGCTGTCAGAGGAACATGGGGGGCACAAGGGTCCGTGTCCCCATCCCTATGGCCTGACCTGTGGCATCTGCTGGAGGGGCTGACAAGAAACCTGGAGAAGGGCTCTTGACAAGGGCCTGTAGGGACAGGACAAGGGGAATGGCTTGAACCTGCCAGAGGGGAGATTGACATGAGCTCTGAGGCAGAAGTTCCATAGGATTCTATGGATCTATGAAAGGATCAATATCACACAATGTATAGGGATGGCAGGGAAAGGTGGGAATTTTAATGCATTCAGTGTTGTTCTGAAATAAAAAGAAATATTTAGCAGCCCTACAGGAACAAGCTGCTTTGTGGGTGCTGTGGCTGTCCTTGGCTATGCCAGGTTTGGGTGTGTGTCCCCTGTAGCTGGGGAGAAGCCCCACAGTTTCATAGAATCCCAGAATCCCAGCCTGGTTTGTGTTGGAAGGGACCTTAAAGCTCCTCCAGCTCCAATCCCTGCCCCGGGCAGGGACACCTTCCACTAGAGCAGGTTGCTCCAAGCCCCTGTGTCCAACCTGGCCTTGAACACTGCCAGGGATGGGGCAGCCACAGCTTCTCTGGGCACCCTGTGCCAGCGCCTCAGCACCCTCACAGGGAAGAACTTCATGTAAGGTTTGTAGCATATTACTCCTTATTTGCTGTGTGTGCTCCACGCTGCTTATTTACAGCCCTGTTACTTTAACTCATCCTTTCACATATCTGCCCCTGGGATCCTGTGTCTTGAGCTCCTCTGTTGCTTCCCCACCAGTCCCTCCACTGCTCTGCCTCCCCTGGGCATTGTGTGGAGTGATTAAAGCTTCTGGGATGCTCAGATACAGTGAGGATAAGGGATACCCAAGGAAGATAACTGGAATTACCGATGATCCTTGGAAGAAATGGCACTGATAGTCTGTAACCCCCTCGCATCTGTAGCTATAAATATTATATATAATAGTTGATGGTAGAGTACATTGGTATTACAGTTATCTGCTGTGATAAAGGTTTGGGGGCAGTTAATGGCATCTTTATAGCGTCAGCTAGTGCTGGGGACCCAGGGCAGTGCCTCAACCAGCACATTGCCCCATTCCCAGCTCTTTGACATGCCACATCCCCGCTGACTCCATCCAAAGGATTTAACCTTCTCCAAAATGCAAAAAATCAGGGGAAAAAGAAAAAAAAAAACAGAGAGGGTGGGTTCGTTTCGCACTCGATGGCTCAGACCTGCAGGCTCCAGATCCCACTCCATGCCACATTTTAGAAGATGTGATATGTCTGCCTCCATCCTCATCCTTTCCTGAGTCCCTGTAATCCCAAATA